ATCCAAGTTCCTCAAAGTAAAATGAAATGAGTAACTTTAGAATTTTCAGAATCTTTTTTAGTTCAAATTACCCAGAAACGCATTGATTTACTACTTGGATCCTGTTTAGGTTTCTATTTATAATTTTAAATTCTACATCCAGTACTTGTTTCAGTGTATATACACCCAAGTACATTTTACTTTTGAGTTATAGATGTTTTTTGGCACACATGCATATGTATATGTACAGGTAACATACATACTACATGTCTTCAACTCTGCCCACCTTAAAAAAGACCACATACTAATTTCCTGACCTCATAAAATAAATATCTGTAATTATGTGTAAATATTTTTACACATGCAATGTATCACTTCATTCATTACATGCATTCACTTATTTGTTTTTGCATTCATCAACATAGTGTATACAAATATACATAAATGTTAATTGCTTTTGTTAGAATGCTGATCCTGGCAGAAGTCATTACACATAAACAGGTTTGATCATTACAGGTCATAAACAGGTTTGATCTTTCTGAACTTGAAAAAATATTGCAAGAACACATCACTTTACAAGAGAATCAATTCTCTTGTAAAGTGATGTGTTCTTGCAATATCTTTTCAAGGTGCTTTTTATTTATATTAATATGCTTAAATGCTTTTGATTAAATTTACAAAATAAATTGAACCTCAGGATATACTTTGAAAATGAAACTATAAACTACTTCATGATGAAATGTTTTTGTCTTATGACAGATTACTTAATTTACACAGTTTTTTGTGTGCTTTTAATTTCTTACTTAAAATCAAAGTTTTATTGTATTAACTATAGTTCACAGCTGAGAATTCATGATGAACTTTCATACTATTTTTGCTTCCTTTGCATATATGGAGACCATTCATTGTGGCTGATGAGAATTCAGGGGTAGTTCAATAATGCTTGAATGTTACTAGTTTGTTTTTTGTAGTATTGAAAGTTAAGAGCTAATTTTTCTCCCATTGAAGTGTTAGAGCTAGGTCAGATGAGAGATCACCTGCCAGATCTAGATGTTTGAAGATGCACCCACAGACTGTAATATCATCTGCATAGATATTTGCTAATGATCTGAGATTGTTTGTTAATATAAAGCAGAAAGAAGATAGGACCAAGTAGTCAGTTTTGTGAGATACCTGTATTGATCTCACAGGCTTCAGTAGCCTGACCATTGATTTCAAGGACCTACTTAATAGGATAAACTTGATGATTGCAAGGACTCTTCCAGAGATTCCATAGCTGGAAAGTTTGTTTAGCAACCCTCTATGCCACACCTTTGAAATGTTTAAAGTGATTTCTCTCATGATGAATGATCAACTGGTGATAAAAAGTGGATTTGTCAAAGAAATTGGAAATCATCCTTAGATTCAATACAACCTTCAACATCTCAAACTAAACAGAAGCTATTGGTAAAAAAAAGTTTTTCTCTGTATTTAGTAAGATTCAAAGTGGTTTTACATCAACAAAGTCCAAAGTAATAAAAACTGATAAATTTTAAATAGTCACTTTACTTTTCAAGTATGCAAAAAGAAGTAACAAATCTAATCAACTTTAAGAAAAAAGAATTTTTTTTTTAATTTCATTAGTTTAACTTGCCCTTACTGTTTTTTGCTGAAGTAGTCAGACTATCTTCCTGACAAATCCAGTTAATAACAATTGTTAGTTTATTCAGACAATGAGTGACAAGAGTTGTTGTTTTGTTTTATCTTTTGTCATTGTTGGTTAAATATTAAATATGCTATTGAAACTCAAATCTTATTGTTGAGTGTTACACTTGACCACAACTGGTTAGTTTGGTGAATGCAAATAATCCTCTCAAAGATTCTCTCAGTAAATTCTAAGAGGCTCTCAAGATTGTGGAATATGATCTTGGCCAGGGAGGATTTCAAGTAACCTTCTCATTTAAGTAATTTTTGTATCTTTTTTTTTTTTTTTAACTCTTTTGCAAAATTCTGAATGGTATTCTTTGCACTTAACAAAACGATTTGAGTTTCAACAAAGTTTGTAAAAACACTTCTTGTTTGATTGTTAGGTTGAGCAATATTCTGCCCAATGACTTCTATTAGTATTTGTTAAGAATTTCATGTCTTATAAATAAACTGATTTCAAACCAATTTTAATATTACTATTTTTTTGTAGAATATGTGATACTAGTATGGAATATAATAAAGGATTTAAAAAAAAAAACTTTCTTGAAATTTAACAGGAAATTTCAATAATGTATAATTATCACCTATTTGTGAATATATGTATTCTATTGAACATATCTAAAATATGAATTTTAGAATCAAATATTCATAGTGTTATTGACAAGGCTAAATAGTTGGACTGAATAAAATGGCAATTAATTTTAATTTTTTTTCTTTTATAAAGCAAGAAATGCAAGATTAGTACAAATTTTAAAGGCTGCCACATTGCCTTAGATCATTACAAATTACAATAATTTCTTTTGGATGATTATACTTGTCTGGCAAAATATTTATCTTTTTTGCTATTTTTCAGTAATTGATTTGTAGGCTTTTGTAGTGACAAAATGATATTTAAATTATATTTGTTTTATAATCTTTTTATTCCAAGGTGGCTTTTCCAAATCTGTACACATAAATTAAGTGCATATATATATATATATATATATATATATATATATATATATATATATATATATATATATATATATATATATATATGTTAAAAATGACGAGGTCCTACGATGATTTATTTATTAAAGACATTTTTTATTTATGTTTATATGTGTATCTATAAAATAACAACGTTAAAACATAAATAAAAATGTCTTTAATAAATATATATATATATATATATATATATATATATATGGTATATTTTGGCAGCAATTGAACTACACAATATAAATTTTGGTTATTTTATATATAAACAACAACCATATTTGTAAAACATTATTTGCACACCAGGAATAAAGATGAATAAAATCTCTAGCAGTGACAGTCTTTTTTGTTCTTAAACTCAATTGTCAGGCTTACTGATTGTGTTTAAGCATGAAACAGACTGTCACATCACTGGTTGTTGACTTTAATGTCCATTTTTATATTTACATACACTCTATCCTTGATATTGAATACTCATAAATATAGCATACTTTAAATCTATATTTTTATCAGGTGGTATTTAAGCTAGCTCTTGCAGAGGGTTCTTGATTGTGTCATCATCACAATAGGTAGGGAGGAATAAATGTGATAGGCAACAATAAACTACAGAAGAACTCAAAATTGGTCGCTGCATTTAAGTATTGTATTAATATTTAAGAATACCTTTTAAAATTTCAACGATAATTCTTCTGCTGCCCCTTAATTTAAAGACAGTTCAATGTATGTAGGTCCTTAATTTCTGTACAAACAATTATTTTTATCTCATGGGTGACTTTCTCTGGATTTCTCAATTTTGATTATTCCCAAATGTATTTCCAAGTTATAAAATTTGTTATCGTACAAAAAATCTGTTGCAAAAAATTACATAAAAAAATCACTGAAAACAATCACAGTAATGAAAACTTGAGAATTCAAAATTTCAGGATTGTGAGTCCGGATCCAGCTTAGAATGTTTTTAATTTGCTCATGGAATTGGCCTGATTCCAAAATGGTATGATATGTTGGGCTACAACCTCTAGGAATAAAGTCAAAAAAGTGTGACACAGTGACACACTAACATTCGCATTTATTTTTTACACATATGTGTGTGTGTGTGTGTGTGCGTGTGCATTTTTCACTCTTAATTTGTTTCTGTAACCATATATTCTCTCCTCAAATTCCTTTTTGTAACTGGTGAATACATCAACAAATAACACCCACATATTTTAATTGTATGTATAATGCAATAATATAGGCTCCAAAAGTATTCTGTTTTGTGTGTTTTTTCAACATGATAAGGCCAGACTCTACACCTGTTTGAAGTCCATCGATCACATTTCAAATTTTGATTGAAATGTCCATCCAAATGCACTGTATAGTCTGGCTTTGGCACATTTTGATTTTCATTTGTCTGAACTGATGAAAGATTGACTCTGCAGACAAAATTTTCTTGATAACAATGATGTCGTCACAAGTGCAAATTTTTATGATTAAAACATATAGGCTCTTGTGCCTTAGTTGTGAAGATGGTAATGCTGGCTATGTAGAAAATAGCATTTTGTAGCTGATGACTTGCTCGATCTAATATGGTGTTTTTGTGCTCCCTGTATGGGTTGTAGTTTCTGTGGAATTAATTAGTTTAGTTTCAGAGTGTCCTTGTATTACATATGCACACTTTTTAAAATATATATTCCAAACAACCCTTAATTTCAGCAAACGCACCTCATTGGTTGAATTCAATAAAACTTGTTTGAGAGAGAGAAGAGAGAGTGAGAGAGTTTCAAAGTCAACCTCACTCACTCTTACATCTGCTCTGTTTCTTTTAAAATGTTTAATATTTACAATGGTTTAAATTTTCTTAGTGTTTGGTTGCTTTTATTTTTTTAAAATAATTATTCAGTCTTTCAGAAACCTAACTGATAAGCACTTAATAAATAATATATAATAAATAAGTAGAAGTTGATTTGGCTAATTTTGTGTTACAGTTACAGACTAAGGCTAAGAATTGACTGAATTGCCAGACTTTAGAATGTTTTACTTTTCTTTTTTATAAAGAATCATCTATTTTCATTTTTATCTAAGGCCATTATCTTATTAATGGAGTTAGAATTTGTATGCCTCAGTTTATAAAACATTTTGCTTAATCACTTTTTTAATTTTCTTCTAACTGAGCCTTAATATGTATTTCTTATGAGTCAAAATGTTCAGATACACAGAAAAGATTTAAGGCTTAACATTTAAGTTCAGCTTCCTTTTGCGTGTATAACAGTTTTATTTTTGCATTGATTAAATTTGATTTAAAACAAACTGGCTATTTTTTCTGTCAGTTATAATTCATTTGATTATTAAATAAACTTTATGAAAATTTCTTCTTTCAGAGCTGATATGGAAATGACATATGCAAAAGGGATAAATCGACTTGGAGCCAAAATGACTAAGCTGGCTGCAAACTCCACAGGGTAAGTTAAAAATATTTATTGATATCTGCTAACAGAGATTTGTATAGAAAGGTAGTAAGAGATTATTCCTTTATGTTGAAGAGAGAAAAATCTAAACATTTTCAAACACTTTTAACTAATATCCAAGATAAATATTTACTCTTAGCTGTCTTTCTCTGTATATTCACATTGTTGGGTGTTAAGTTCCTTATAAATATAAGTGACAACTTAATCCTCAAGTAAATATGATGCTTGTGTGACCAATATTGTATTTTAATTATTACTTATATAAGCACTACAGTCTTGTACATCAACTTGTTACTTAGTACAATGCATACACTTACTAATTTTCACAAACAACCAAAATACAACTATTAACTTAACATGAATATAAGTTGATAATATCAAAATACTTCATGGCACTAATTGTAAAGAAAGTCTCAAAATACTCAAAGCTATTCTTATACAAAATAACCTGCATTAAATATATTTCACCATATGGAATGTCATTTTAAAATGTCTATAAAATATTTATAATGCATATAAAATATTTAATATACAGTGAGTCCCCATATTGGGGTTAGGAACCAGAACTGACTGCGAATAGTTAGAATCCGCAAATGCTTGTAATTCCACCTTAAAAGTGCTTATAAGTACCTATTTTGATTATTAAAACTCATATAACTTAAACTTTCATCCTAAACACTTTAGAAACATTTCAAACCCTTTTTAAAACATTTTTGAAAAATGTATTGGTATTTGTATATGTGACCATACACTTAGCATAAATTTTCTTTCATACGTACAATAACTGTTTTTAATTATGCATAGATCAATACAACCATTGAAAATACTGTATAAAATATGTGTAACAAGACATAAGATATAAAGTTTAAAACATTTTCTAAAAACAGAACTGTGATGATGCCCCCCCAGACTTAGCATAAGCCACTTTTAAAACCCCAGATGCAGCCCTTAACAAAGAACAAAGCCCAAGCACTATGCTTTTTACAATGAAGATGTACAATTCTGCCAATTTTTACCATAAAAATGGACTGTTATGTTTTAAGTCACTTAAATAACAGGAAAATAATATAAGAAAATTTTAAATATGTTCTATCGAAAAAATACACGAATTGAAGGAATTCTCAGTGAATAATTTCTACATATTTTCATCAGAAAAACACGAATATTCAGAGTTTCTGCAAATAGCAAGTACATATGTTCTAAAGAAAAATTTGTGAAGCCGCGAATGCTGAAACTTGAATGTATTCATTTTTTAGTGCTGAAACCATTATGAAACCATTCTACATGTGATGTCACTTATATAATGTATATATATTTAAATTTAAAATTGGAGCATTGAAAAATGTCAGGATATAGTTAACAAAACTTTTGTCAACAATATTGACAACATTTAATTATTAATAATGACGAAGACAATTGAAAGAATTTGAACAAAAACATGGTTTTTGTACCGTTTATCTACAATTTTGATCTGGATGTGCAACAACTTATTTGAAAATTGGAAAATGCAATAAAAAAATTAAGCAGACCTTGTTGGTTGAATTTTATATATTTATTTATCTGTTTATTGATTGTTCAGTTTGGAAATAAATTATGAAGCCACTCTTTTTATTAGATATGATAGCAAAAGTGAAAAAAACTGTTGATTTTTAAACAGTACTTTTTGGGATATGGTTCAGTGCAGCATTTTACACCAAATAAACAATATCATCCTTCTACAATTTGTTTTTAATCATTAGAAAATAAACTGCATCTAATTTGTTTCATGACTGATCTGTATTTGGTTTTAATTAATTGACTTAATTGAGTTTTGTGCAAATGTTCTCAAGAGATAATTAATATTTTTAGTGAAAATGGTTAATTTGGTAAAAATAGATTTTGGCTCTAAAAAATATTGATTATTTTCATTGTTATTCAATTAAAAATAGAATTTTAAAAAATTGTCACCATTCTTCAGGCTTTACAAAAGAAAAGTTCTATTAACTAATATCTTAATTTCTCTTATGTATAACTAAAAGGACAATATGAATAAAGACAAAAGGAAGACTTATCTTAGCCAATGTGTTTTGTTTTTGTCCTCTAAGGGACTTTATCAAGGCAAATGCAAGGATTTTATTTTGTAACATATTTATATACAAGAGCAAAAATGTTGTGAAAAAAAGATGATAGTTTTGTAGAATATTGCTTACCTTTGATTCTTATAGGGAAAAGTATAGTGTGTGTGTGTGTACACACACATATATATATATATATATATATATATATATATATATATAAGATGACTTATAAACTTTTATATATCAAGAACAATTTGGGGGTAAGTTAGATGGCAAAGTGGGAAAAAGTTTTCATGTGATGCATTTCGTCGTTTATGACTTTGTTGGACTAAGTTTGTTTATGTTGATGTGACATATGCACAAATAAGAGATGCTGGGAATTATAAATTTCAAAATAATTTGTTTCTTATGCATGTGTTTTGGATATATAATCTATCCAATTTCATTTAGATTGTTTTTGTTTCCATCACTTTTTTTATTAAATATTCAACATTGTGATTAATAGAAGATCTGCTGAAAATGGTGAAATATTGTAAAAACCTGGACAAAAATTTACTGTAGATGACCTAGTGATTAAAGCAATTTCTAAATATTTTTGTCTTGGTCAATTGTTTTCTCTTTTAGCATTTTTTATATAAAAATTGTGGTCAGTCTCGTTACAGTGAGCAACTAATGCATTTAATGTGTTGTTTTGCAAAATATCCCTTTTGTGTTCATATAATCTATTATTTAAATTTCTTGAGACTTCACTGATGTGACAATTATTACGGGTAAATTCTTCCTTCAAGTTTTAGTTTATTGTTTTGTTTTGTAGTGATTAAGTCTTTTATTGTTCAATTTGTTATTTTACATTCTATTAAAAAAAATTTCTTTAATTTTTGTAAAAATAATTTTAATAGTTTGAAAATGTAAATGACTGCATTAGAAATCGATATCATCACAATTTTCAGTAATGTGAAAAAATCTTTGCAGTCTGCACTGTGTCAGGTTCTATTAGGCAAATCAACATTTTGACATTAAAATTGGTATTGTCCAACTTGATAGACCAAAACAAAAAAAAAAAATTCTCTCATGATTGTTGAAAAAGCCAATAGTATTAAAAATGTAGCCATCATAAACGAAATTATCCTCGAATTGTAGTTTGCAGTTACAAATTTCACTTTAAATTGAGAAAAAAATGATTCTTAAAAAGTTAACATGTCATAATAAGATTGAAAAATATAAAATATATCAAAGGCAAATTATCAACTTTAATTTAGGAAATAACATAATCGGCCAAACATAAAAAATGGAAATTACAAATGGAAACACTGAAAATCAACATTAGAAGGGATGTTCCAAAGGAATTTGCAAAAGATCCTATTCACTTCATGTTCTTTTGGTTCCACTCAGTTTCTTCTTCAGAACTGTTACTTTGTGGAACAGATATCCAAGAGGATGTTTCCCTGATCATTACATTCTTAACCTCTTCAATTCCAGGGTCAACTGATATATATCTTACATAATATTCCTTCTTCCCTCTCCCTTACAACAATCTCATACAGTGAGTAAACTAAATTTAAAAAAAAAAAATCCCAATATTAAGAAAAACATAAAAATTATCGTTATTAAATGTGTTACGAGGATGCATTTCTATAGTAAGGGATTCTACTGAGCCCTACTTGTTAATACAAAAAAGTTTTCATTCATGAAGTAATTGTAAAATAGAAAAATTAGAAATAGAACATTTGGAAGATTCTAGATCATTCCAGTATATTTGAGAAAAATCTAAATGATTCGGGAAACATCTAGAAATATGCTAATTAGGTGCTAGCCCCTATAAAAATAGGTTTTTGGAAAAGGGTTGTCAGTTGTTGAAAACAAATTTCTGCCAGTATTAACTCCAGCTTTTGATTCAAGGATTATTATATCCAGCCGAAAGAATCTCTATGAAAAGTTTCCAACCAACAAAAACCCCAAAAGAGAACCCCTTGGAACAAATCTGGTAAATAGAGTTTTGACTATTTTCATTCACCAAACTACCAATTATTCAATATATACTCACATTTGTGGATTTACAGTTAGCACTTAGATTACTTCGCTAGCCCTAACTTGACTTGACTCCCCTTCCTTCTCCCTCGTAACACTTCGCCTGTAAACTCTGTGTTTACTGTTTTTGTAGGCCACAATTGTTTATCTTGTATATATTTTATGTTGTGTTTTAATAAATTAAATATTTGTTTGTGATTTAGCTCTGTGTTTTGGTAAATCATTTTTTTTCCTTTGTTACAATTTCCAACACGTAACAAATGCAACAAAAAGCTGAAAAATATTAAAAAACACCAAAACTATCATTATAAAATACAACAAAGAGTAATTTTTTTTAAATAAATTCTTTTACTGTGACTGCAAGTGAAATGGAAACAATGTTTTGTATAGATTCAAATTTGAAATATTGTCCTAGTCTTCAGTAATATGGCAATATAACTTACAAATAATGTTACTTTAAATGTGAGGATAATTGTAGGAACCAACTTTACAACATTTTCCTACCTTCAATGTGATCTTAACCAAATTTAGAAATTGATTCTCAGTTTTTAAAAAAACTTTAAAGATATATATATATATATATATATATATATATATATATATATATATATATACACACACACATGTGTGTGTTCAACCAATTACAATGTCATATAAAAACACCTGCTGCTTTGCTGAAATATTATTCTGCCATCAAACCAATGTCATTTGAAACATACAGTTGCATTATATACTCACTACCATGTTTTCTACACCTCTGCGCCTTCATCATGGTACATTTGTCACTATTATGCAACAGCAGTTTTTTGTCCCATTTCCAGCAGCTATTTACCAAGCTCAAAGACATAATATTCACCTGTCACCATCTTTTCTAAGAATTCTTTGGAATTGTGGTAATGCTGTTTTCAA